CTTTAAGATACAACTATAAACATAAGTAATCAAACTTCCCTAATTAATCCTCCGAGGTATTCACAACACATGAATAGTGTCAATGATTGACGCTGTATATTGAAATATTTAATCATTAAAGTTGTGAGCGTATCGGACGCCATCGTGTTTAATCTACGTACAATACAATATTCATACGTTGATATTCCTCTTGTATTGAAAATCCAATTAACAATTGCTACAGGTAGAATACGAGGCATAAATTAAAAGTCGAAGCTCTTTTTTTAATAAAAATATTTATGATACATGACATTTTAGATCGCCTTGTTTGTTGAACGGCTTCAAGAGTGACAATGAGCAAGAGGTTTAGCTTTTGTTTCTTGGGTTGGGCAAAGTATTTTAGGTTAATTTCTTTTTCGATCTCTTTGACTGTATTTTGGTGATACATTGTTGTCGCATAATCGAACCAACAAAACTGTGCATGTAACTAGAGAATTGTATTGAGACCTATGGAGTTTCTTGCTCGTTCTTCTACATAGTTTACACCTTGGAATGAGCAAATAGCTTCACTTTTTAATTTATTGTTTACGTTTAAAAGTGACTTATTGGTCTTATTGAAATAAATGAGCTTTGACTATTGTTGCACGATTTGGTTTTTTTTTGGAATATACCTCTAAATAGACCCTGTGTATGGTAATAGGCTCAACTGCTATTACACAATACAAAACTCTATTTAACACTATCAATTGACGCAATAAATAACTTAATTATGTACAGGACATAGATACACAAACCAATTTATTAAATTTCCAAACTAAACCTATAGGTAAGTTACAGACAATAACCAATCATATTACTATCCTAATTACGTTCAAAATTCAGTTAAAGTTCCACACGTAACTTGATCAGCAAACAAATTCATTTACTTGCCCAAACTAGTCCAAGAGCCCGGAACTTAAATTAGACCTTTATGTGTGTTGCAAGAGAAACTAATATTAATTAATAATGTGACTTGATTTTATAATATCTGTATTTTATTACAGTCAGTCGACCTTCGAAAGTCGACTGACCATGGGCCTTTTTAATGGGAAACGGTTTAGATGTAATACCCATGACTGCCTCATTGGCCGAGTGGTCAAAAGTGCGACTGCCGGGCAAGGGGTCTCGGGTTCGATTCCCAGGTCGGGCAAAGTATTACTGGATTTTTAAATAATCTCAGTAGTAGCACGGAGTCTGGAATCGTGCCCGGTATATGACAATAGGCTCACCCCCTATTACATGGGACTCATAACATAAATAGTGAAAACTGGGTGTTACTTCTGTGTGCACTTCTTATCCCCGAAAGGGTAGGCCCTTTCGGGGATAAAACGTGTCATGTTATGTTATGTTACCCATGTTTAGTTGGCGGGTTGAAAATAAAATGGAAGTTTAAAAAAATCATGGCTATCAAAGAGCATCTAAGTAATCTCTTAGGAGGATTCAACCCGCGGGAATAGTAGGGGTGGTATTGGTATATATAGGGTGTAAACGGACTGCTAACGAAAAACGTCGACAGGTGATGAAACAAACGAAAAGTAAAAACTAAAAAGCAAAAAATAACTATTATTGGTCATACGTACTCATACAGGTATAACACTACCACTGATAGGTGAGAAGTCGGTGCCAAAAGTTTTACACAAAATTATTCATTAAAACCTTAACAGATATCAACTATTATTAAGCTGTTTATAATTTTATTATGGATTATACCAGTGACCATTACCTAAGATATATTTTGTTATGGGTTTGTTTGGTTTGAGGAAAATTTTAAGTATGCTTGTTCTTATCCTATATTGGGGACTGTGACGTCATAACTCATACGTCATCAAGTCAGAACAGTTATTAGGGGAGGCATGTTCATTTTATTCTTTCTTTTTTTCATTATTTATTATACTGTCTTACAAGTGAGTGATTGCATTTGTAAATGTCGGGTATATGAAGTTTTTGGTGTTCCCATACATAATATTACGGCTGTTGCTGATGATGAGGTGCCTTACCCACGATACATTTTTAAAGACTATCCATTCTTTAGAAGAAGACCAATCCATAGGTCTCAAATCTTTAGGTCTTCTTTAAGACCTAAAGATTACCAATCCATTTTTTACCAGTTGAATAATGTAATTAAACTATATTTTTTTTCATTTAGGGCATTTGAATGTTTTTATAACAAATAAAGAAAATATAATCATTAAACTTAGGTATAAGTGGAGCGTAAGACTGTTACTCACTAAAAATTAAATGACTGACTAATACCTAATGAGTGAAAGAACAAGGTGGGCATTTCTTCTATATACATAGGTAAACCTTACGCCTGTCTTCCATGGATGAAAGCTTCTTCATCAACAGTCATCAGTCTTTTCATGCATGCACATCGCATCGGTTAAGGGTACACTTGGCTTATCTTTAATATATCGCCAATCTAGTCTGTATATATATCCGTCTAAGGCGCCCTCTACCAACGGCCCCGTTCATATCCGCTCTGTATACTTCTTTCGTTACTCTACTGTCATCCATCCTTTCTACATGTCCAAACCAGCGTAACATTCCCTTTTCAATCTTTGTCACTTCATCATCTTTCAAACCACACCTTTCTATTACTATTCTATATTGAGACCACAGTATATAGGTAGTCATACCCGCGATCTCAACATATCTATTTTTTCTGCTAGAGTACAGCAAGTATTAAACTAAATAAATACTTACGAGAATTCCGAAACCTTGAGACAGATTTTGTTGAAATACGGTATGGGTCCAGAGGTATTTTATTATTAATAATAATTACATAATGTTTGTCTGTAGAAAACATTACTTGCAAGTTGGAACTACTTTCTCCTTTATTTAATAGAGATTCCATTTGTTGAGTGCTTTTCTTTATTTCTAAGTGGCTAATGTTTGTGTAATATCCTCAATTTTCGTGTACAATCTAACACTAGCTCTTGGACTAGGAGCGTGCTTAAATAGCCCTTTAGGGAATAATTGCCGAAATGTTTTAATGTTCTTCATTATGTATTGTTATTAATTCCTCCCATAACATTTATCATCTTTTACTTTTCCCGCGAGTTTTGTGAGAGCCTACTAAGACCTGATTTTTCAATACTAAGTTAAACCATCAGTTAGCACTTATGTAACAGTTAACAAGATCCTCGATTTTTCAATAACCAGTTAGGCTTTATCCAACAGTGAAACTCCCTAACTGGCTGTCATATTTAACTGACTGTTTAAGCCTCAGTTAGTCGCTATCTGACTGTTTATTTGACGTTCTTTAGTGATTACAATCCTGATTATTTAGGTTAGAACAGTGGTGATTTTGCTCTCTACCTGTCCAATGAAAAATTGGTCATAATTATTCCTTTGTTAAAATTTGCTAATGGGTACTAACTGAGGCTTTAACGGAGTATTGAAAAATCAGCCCTAAGTGAATATACCTTCAACAAAGATAAGACAGCAACGCTATCTGCTTTCTGATAAACCTGAAACTTTTGAACTGCTTTTTTCAACCATGTCATGTCTGGAGATAGTCTATCCTTGTGTCTAGTCCTTGTGTTTAGTCTATCATCTAGCAGTGTTGTTGACGATTGATAACGTCGGACGAAAAAATATGGCAAAATTAAGTAAGCAATTTCCTATTTTATCCACAATATTATATCGAGTTTATTTTGTTATATTGATGTTATTAATTGAATGTAATTTAATATTTTCAAATGCACCAGATGAATATAATTACTAAACTCATAAAAATGATTCAATTCTCCAAATATGGTTTATCCTAATTTATAGTTATATTTTTCATACACAACAGAATATAATATTACGTTTAGATTTTGTTAAATAAAATTTCTCGTAGCACACACTACATTTTTGTAACCCAACACGAAAAAATTAATACGAATTAGGTTTTTTTATATTTTTGTATCACATAAAAATGGGAACAAAATTGTCACGTAGTAGCATGTACAATATTAATATATTAAAATTATCTCACGTACAAATGTTTGTCGAACCGTGAATGAAATTATTTTGCCATCCACTACCTACATCAAAAAATAGGTTCAACTAATAAAAGTTTTAGCTACGTAAATGATATATTTAAGTGATGTATTACGAGTGCATTGTACCGTGTTATAAAAATGTAGTTAGGTAGGTATTAGCATAATATGTAATCTAATTTTAAAAACGCTTTGTGTCATTGTTATACCAATTTTTATTTACATAGTTTAAACTTCAAATTGCCATTTCTACTAATATGAAACCTATGGAAGAAGTTTAGAATTATCTGAATATGTTTACTTAGAAGAAATTGTTGGGCTTATACTTCTCTAACTAATTGGTAAAAGAATTACCCAATTACTCCCCTCCCTAGTCTGCCGAATTCCCGAATCTTCCACAATCCTCAAATTTTCAAAACACAAAAGGCCTACTAACGCACTTGTAACGCCTTGGTGTTTCGGGTGTCCATGGGCGGCGTCGATTGCTTACCATCAGGTGATCCGTCTGTTCGTTTACCGGCTTATGTTATAAAAAAAAATTGAATAATAAGACTGAATATTTTCTCTAATACCTTTAAACGAGCAATTCTTGTATATAATATATACCTATATCAACGATCGCGGAAATGGCCTCCATCGATTTTCTTAAAATGTTGTATGCAGAAGGTTTCGGGGCCGATAAATCGATCTGACTAGGTTTCTTGTGCAGACAATGTAGTTTTGTCCGTGTTTTCATTGAATAAAATTCCTTATTAGAATAGGATGCTGAATATCGCCGTGACGTATAACTCTTTAATAGCTTAGTCGTGAAATCGGGTGCCTTAAACGGCAGGACACTCAGGTTCAACCCTCGCCTCGGCTCGAATGTTTTTTTTAATGTTTTGTTCTATTACATTTATTTTATTTTGTTCTATATTTTTTCCTTCTTTTCTAGCTCAGTCATCCAGTTATTAAGTCATTATACGTAAGTGGGAAATTAGAAATAAAAGGCACAAGATCGATACCCGATATATTTATTTAACCATAACGTCGACAGTGGTAATTAACAACGAACTAATCAAATAATGGGTATCCAAACATCCATTTTTCGAATATTTTACCCCCTAAAAATATTTTTATTATATCCATTACAGTATAAATTACATGTATGTATGTAGAGTGAGTGTTAAACGACAGAATTCACTAACTCTTATAATTTCAACTATGAAATTGACATGAATAGGATACTGTATGACCCAGCCTAGATATAATCGTAGAACATACATTAATAGATCGTTATATTTGCCTTTCCCCTTACATAAATTAAAAATCACATTAAAACGAGACGATATTGAAACATGTTTACTGAAACTTTAAATAATGTCTAACATTAAAATACATTTTAGTCTTGTACCTCTTAATTTACTTTGATCTTAGAACATTGCTGTTATAATTGTGACTGACTGCAAACCTCCAAATCTCATTTAGTGCAGAGGATAATTCGTCGATTGTACCTGACACCGACGAGTGAGGGCGATTGTACTAAATGGAAATTTGGAAGTGCGCTCGTAGGTACCTAAGCAAATAGGTATGACGTCATAAATTTTGAAAGTGGCACACATAGAAAGGAAAATATTTCAGTTACAACAACGAATATTAATCTACATTTTTAGATATAAAGAGTATCGCTATGGACAGATAATTCTTATGCCATCGACATTATACTTTAAATTATTTACAACAATCGTAAATTCCGAACAACAATACCGCTCTTAAAATTATCTTTTAATAGAACTGAGGTTGATTTTTTTTATATTTTTTGGATGCGAAGATAATAATATGATATCACAGTAACGTTACAAGTCCTGTAAACTGAACGATAAATAGACTATACAAGTATTTGTAATGATATATATTCATATATTTACTTTGCATGCAGTTACAGATCAAATGATAGGGTTCTCATGTAATAGTAATTAACTAAATGTGTATTTAAACGACGTTCCTTAACAGCTCCTCCGATGATAGCATGCCGTCCTGCGAACAAAGACTGTGTTAATACCAGTTTCACTTTAAAATATTAACATAGTGGTTGACTGTGTGGAGAATGATATAGAAAGATGAAGAAGTTTCCAGAAAGAAGTTTGAAGAAGATGAAGAACGGGGAACGAAAAAAGTGCCGGAGAGCCACGCTTCGGCACGAATGGGCCCGCTCGACCGGAATGATACCACGGCCTCACAGAAAACTGACGTGAAACAATGCTTGCGTTGTATTTCGTCTTGTGAGTGAGTTTAGATCCCCCCCCCCTCTCCTCAATCTTCCCAATCCCTGAATCTCCAACATTTCTCTCTCACGCCTCTGTTGTTCCAGGTGTCCATGGCATGGATTGCTTACCATCAGGTGATCCGGTGGCTTGTTTACCGATTAATCCCATAAAAAAATGCCTAGTAGCTTGGAATAAGGGTAAAAAAGAAGTAAGACTAAATTATTGTTGTATTACTCGTCGCCTCTGCCAGCGGCTTCGCCCGCCGCTCTCGTGAAACAATAACAAACACACAAACTTTCGCATTTATACATATATATTATGTACCTATAATTTGAACGATTGTAAAGTGTAGTAAATGAACCTGCTTTTATTAATTACGTTAACTATCCCCAAATCACAATGTGTGAACGTTCTAATGCGCAGTTACTTACATAATTTTTTTTTTATTAGTTTCAACTAACTATGAAACACAAAGCCTACAAGTTTGCGCAACTACGGTTAAGTTACACCCCTAAGTAGAACTTAAACTTGTGTCGAAATCGACGGATTTCTTAACGAAATTTGTTCACCCAGGTTTCTAATCAAAATAATTAAAACATTTTATAAGAGAAGGTACCTACCTTAAACATAAAATTCAAAATGGCGAATCGGAAAGTTTCTAGTACCTGCTCTTTTATTGTTTGCAAGAGCCGATAACTTTTATATTAACTTGATTATACAGTAAAATGTAGTCATTAAATTCCGAAAATTGATTCCTACCTGTACCTACTAAAAACCTTCAATGAAAAGTAAAATTAATCAAAATTTTAATCAGATCGAACTCGATACTATTGTAAAAATAATTCTTTTGCAAATTGTTTGAAGCAATCGACATCAACCCCCTTTTTTCGAAGTCGGTTAATCACTACATAGTATGAAACAAAGTCGCTATCCGCCGTCTGTCTGTCCCTATGTATGTTTAGATCTTTAAATCTACGCAACGGATTTTGATGCAGTTTTTTTAATAGATAGACTGATAGATTCTTAAGGAAGTTTTATATGTATAATACATGCATAACCCGTCGCTAGTAAATATACTAAAACTTTCTCTTAAGTGTCACAAATACTTTAAAATCCGCATCAAAATCGGTTTAACCAATCACGAGATAATCTCCAAAATGGGGAGATTCTCAAATATCCTAATTTCTTTGTGAAGTTAGTTAATTGAGATCATAATATATTAAAATTAATATGTAATTAAAGAAGAACCTGTCTATTTGCAATGAAACTGATGAATAAAAAATTAAAAACCTATAGACACCAATCAACAATATACACAATAAAATGAGTACATATCAAGTCAGTTCACAAGTAACTTCTAAGCTTCAGTTTACACCTACACCCATACTGAAAACACAATTTCACGAACAAACTAATAGAGGTTGTACACTTCTCAGTTCAATATCGAAGTTCGAGCGTAAAGTTCGTGCAGAATCGCCCAATGTGCTCGAACCACTAACTGGGTTCCACACATTTACATAGCCCTGTCGCCTGTCCTAGGAATTTAGGCATATAGGAGAGCACTAAATACACAGGTTACTTGAAACAAGCCAGTAAGCCGCTTTGCACAGGCTTATGTGCCTATCTACTTCATGAACATCGCTGTGCATAATAATTTCACCTTACCTACTAAGTTGTGTTTAATAACTTGAATTACTTAAGTTTTGTTGGCAATTAATGTGATGGTAGTTGGAGGATTAAGAAAATATTTAATTTAAAAAAAAATTAAATAGGATTTTTTCTTGTTATTTAACTTTAGAAACTAGGTTAGAAATATCATAAAAGAATCAACCTGTATCATTGTATGTAAATCCTCATCGATTGTAGGTCGTTATATAAAATATGAACGTGATAACAGTAACGCCTTTATTGACTACTAATAGCTATACTTTTTTTGAGGGGGGGACAATCATCCAATGACTTCTCCCGCCTGGGTGAGGCGAGAGGGAGTGTCAGACTCTTACTGACTAAAAACCAACTCGTTCCTACTCCTGTACTTCGAGCCGGAGCCCTGGCAACCCGTTAAGTCGTCCACAGCTCCGTATCGGCACCAGTTCTTACTAATTGCTACTCTAAGGGCCGAATGTACTAATACCAACGCCAAATACATTTTATCGGAGGAATAATTTTAAACGTATAACGTTTCTATATACAGCAGAAGAAGATATTCATGTATACAGCAGAACAGAGCTAACTACATGAATTGGCCTCAGAGAGAATAATTCGAAATGTTTTTTCCTTTCGACCATTTTAACTTAACAGAAGCCAAAATACATTACACTAAAGTACATTGTGGGGCAATCCAAAGGTAGCTTCATAAAAAATAAGCCCAGAAATACCGCAGGCAACCCTTTTCCTTTTTAATTAGATCCAAAGCTCACACATAATAGAGATTCCCATTCAAATATTAACTTCATTCATATCTGACATGGAGGCAATTTATTACATTATATAATGCTCACGTCATGATATATTCTTCTTCATAAACGTAATTTCCTCGAGTATTTTAAATGTGTTACACTTCCTACCAAAACCCACAGAATTATAAGTCATTTGTATACAAAAGTAGATTTTAAAATTATATTATTAAGGCTCATTTTGATTTTTTTTTTTTGGTCTTCTCTGTTGCAGCACACAATCAGCCAAGTTAATTAGTATGCAAGTAAGGATATAAAAATGGATCCAATACAAAGACGAGAGAAGATATTGTTATACCAAATTATATGGTTTTTAACGAAGGTAAATCGGTAATTTAATAAAGGTAAAATTCAACCAATGTTTACTGTTTCTGTGCTGAATCAATTTTCATTTTCTTATTGGCATACCAAATGTTTTAGTTGATTATAACATCCGAGTATAATTTCATATTTGAGTTCTTTATCTTACCAATAAATTAGACTTGAGTTCCATATTGATTTCAAAGTTCCGTACTGATCAAAATACTACAAAACATTCCTAAGTTATGGTATCTCTCATTGTAAAGAGACTGAAATAGTTTTAATAACAACTTGGAACTATTTAAGTGCTGTTTGAATGTTTCAAAAGTATCCAAATAATTACCTGATTGAGGTCAATGAACTTGCGGACCACAGATCGCGCGAAATCTGGATTGTTCAGCATCTCGTTCACAAACCAGTCCAAAGGAATGCTGTAGGAAGAGAAAACTATGTTTAATTACTATCGTCATTATTATTTAACTTTAGAGAGTAATATTATATAAGACACCCATTAAAATTTGACATAATATAACATAACATCATGACTTGTATCCTCGAAGGGGTAGGCAGAGGTGCACATTACGACACTTAATGCACTCTGTCTCTTGGGCCGAGTGTTCCCAAATGCGACTTCCGGGCAAGGGGTCTCGGGCTCTATTCCCTGGTCGGGCATACTGAAGGCATTCACTCACAATTAGTATTTATGACAAGAAATATTTTCATCCCCGATAATCGATAACCAAACTGGAAAAGTCATCTAAAAATAATATCGTAATTTTAGATTGATCTTAATAAATATAATATCGGGAGATCACTTTCTTATATCATTTTTTATAAGTAAAGTAAACAATTTTCTATATTTATCCCCACTATTGTCGACTGCAATAAAAATAAGTATATCCTAACATACTACAATAACCACCAGTATTCAATCACATTTACTCTACTGAAAACATATTTTTTCATCAAAGAAATGACATGGTTCCCTCCACTTGAAGTAATTACTTATACTTATAGCATTTAAAAAGGTTATAATACACGAATAAAAAATACGTTTTTTATCTGTGCAAGCGGAAAATGACTAGGCTATGTTGAGATAGCTTTTTGATCATAACTCAGTAATGTACGAACACAATTTATAATCATTGAGGCGTATTTTAACTTAATATTCTTTTGTACGAAGATTTTAGGCATATTGTGCTAGTATGATATATATTAGGATTAGAATAAATGGAACTAGGAATTTGGTTGTTTCAATAAAAATCTGATTTCTATCTTTTCGTTACCAATTGCGACTTATAAGTAAAACAAGACATATTACTGTTTTTTCTTTAAAAAACGTTGCTCCACACTAGGATTTTCTCCTGTGTCGTGGGTTACAAACATATAAGTTCATATACACATGATACTCAGACCCGGAACAGCAATCTGTAGATCACACAAAACTTGTTCCGTGCGGGAATCGAACCCGCGACATGTTGCGCAGCAGCCAGTTGCTCTTTTATAATTTAATACATTAAATTAAAACAATTCAGAACAGTATTACACACTAGAAGCCCGTAACAGTACCATTACTACGCTTTGTGTAGCGGCCTACGAGGCGTAGCATGTAGCTGCTACGTCGTAGCCCCAGTCTTTTGATTGTGTTTTTACAGTACAATACTTATTTTAGTTTTAGCAAATAGTAATATTGTAGGGGTCATATTATTTAATGAACGTTTCTATATAATAAATATAAATATACTTTATATAAATAATCAATATGGAAACGGAAGTAATTGAATTAAAATATGATGTCAGAAAAACAACTTCATTTGAATGTTTTACTTTACGCGCTACTATTAAAATAATGACATTATCATCCATATATCATGATTGTACATGTCATTATTATAATGTACATTTCTTTATTTATGTTATTTTAATGGTAACTAACAAAATGTGAACGTTTGTGATGATTTTTCATAATGTACTTTATTCTGATAGCAATTCGGTTGATTTTCATTAATCTTGTAGGCTTTAACTGTAGTTATAGAAACAAATAGAACCTTTGGCTATCGAATTGGATTTGCTAAATGCGAAGCCTTATCTATGGGACGAGCTTTGATAGGGGGAGAGGGAAATACTCTCGTATTTTCCTCTATTGTTTACATAATAGTAACTTTGTAATTTTAGAATTATAGAAGGACAAAGTTTAATTTAACATAGCTTAAAATAATTGATTCATTTTTCAGTAACGTTGCCCCACACTAGAATTTTCTCCTGTGTCGTGGGTGCGTTGACAAACATACAAGTTCACATACACGTGTCACCCAAACTCGAAATATCAAGTACACAATTTGCATATCAGACAAAGAGTTGTTCCTTGCGGGAATCGAACCCGCTGCACGTTGCGCGGTAGCCAGTTGTCTAACCATTGCACCGACCGTGCAATCTAAATATATTCTAAGATAGATTGAGATAGAGATAGAGAGAGATTCTAGATATACAATTTTGCCAAATGAATTAACATACATATTTGTACGTGTTGTGGTGGATATTGTAATAATCGACTGCAAGGGATATCAAACACAATTGTAGACTTTTAAAAGAACAAGATTATAATTTCGATTTTGAAATTTACTTCCATAGATAAGTGGGAAAAAACAATGCTTCGGCACAAATGGGCCGGCTTTAACCAGAGTGATACCACGGCCTCACAGAGAACCGACGTGAAACAACGCCTGCGTTGTATTTTGTCGTGTGAGTGAAGTTACTGGAGGCCCAAATACTTCTCTCCCCAATCTATCCAATCCCTGAATACTCAACAATCCTCAAGCTCCCAATTCCCAAAAGATCAGTAACGTATTTGTAACGCCTCTAGTGTTTGTGTCCTTGGGCAGCGCCGATTGCTTAACATGAGGTTATCTGTCAGCTCGTTTACTGACTTATGCCACAAAAAAACTTGAATTCATCGACCATGTTTACAACAACTAGACCTATTCAGTCCACATATGACTTAATCCCACAACCTAGACGAAATTCTAATTCTCAGTTATGAATAGAAATAGCGCAAATTAATTACCTTTATTGAAACAAAGCAATTCATATCGATAGAAATTAATTTCGATACACTAATGCTAATTTCGTAGTTTCATAATTGGTTATCGATACAAATTAATCGCTATTGCAATTGGTAATAAATTCCGGATTGATATGGGTTCATTATATGTAAATTACACGTTAGTGCCATATGAAATTAGACTTTCAATTGTTTGATTAAAGTTCGAATTTAGTTGAATACTAATATTTAAATGGATGCTTAATTTAGATCTGTTGTTTTGCTGTGTTCTATCGTCACGCGTCTCTGTTATTTACGAGTTAACGTGTTATAGCATAAAATTATTATTGTTATTGTACTCAAGAAAGTTTTATGCATTGTTATCATTTTATACTATCATATCATTTACCTTCTACCGTTAAGATAATCTAAGAAAATTTTACTTCTTTGGACTTTTGACATTATATTCTAAAATTAATTGTTACTTGTAATATGATCGGACATGGCATTAAGATGAGGATAACCCTTAATTTCTTGTGTTTTTTTAGTTTGAAATATATATGTGGTAACTAATAACAAAACATAATTGACATTCTTCTTTATTAAAAAAATAGAAATTTTGAATTTGAGGATTTTCTTTTTAGGAAATAGTGCTCATAAATCTTGTTTTGTAGACAACAAAAGATATATTGCCAGTAAATTTGTTAAGACTGCAGTTAAAATGACTTACCAAAGGTCTTGAAGTAATATCCTATTTTTTATACTATAACAATAAATCCTACAACTATCCTACTGCTGAGCTAAGCGGAAAGAAAGTAATGAGCATTGGTCACCACGCTCAAGGCAAAATGGCGACAGATTCATATTTTATTACAAATCTAGTTCTTTCTTTTCAAGATAAACTTATGGAATTGAAAAAATCACATTACCATTTTGTAGAAGTATTCGGTTTTTAGTAAAAAAACCTTTTGGAAATTTCTTTTATGGACGTAGATACCTAGTCTAGTGGTGCTTATACCCACCTGAGTGAAAATCGTAATAGCAACTCGATCCTAGATTCCAATTTCTACCCCTCCACATATTGCCTACATATTCTCTCACACGACACGGTGTTAATACGAAACCTCTTTTGTTTTAATATAAATAGAACCCAATATTCTTCGAGTTCTATTTTCATTCATTTGTTTTATTCTCTTTGCTGCTTTCCATTCGGTCTTTATTTGAATTTCGAGTGAGTGAATGGCATTTTTCTTGTTGTAGAAATGATAAGAAAAAATGAAGGTTTCTTGCCTTATATACGATTTCTTTTATTGTTAATTAATTACATAGCTGCTGTTTGATTCATAATCTCGTTAGCCACATGTGATGTTTACTGATGAACATAGTTATATCAATTACTAACTTTTACTCGCGGCTTCGTACGCGCAATCCCGTTTTTTCCCGTTCTCATTCGTGATTTTCAATAAAAAGTAAAAAAAAGGTGTTAGATAATAGTATCCTTTGTCCATCTCCTGGTTCTAAGCTACCTCTCACCAATTTTTATCCAAATTGATTTAGCCGTTCTTGAGTTATAAATAGTATAACTAACGCGACTTTTTATAGTATAAAAAATATAACATAATTAATAATTTTAACCTCTTCTAATAAAACCATTCAAAAAAGAAGAAATCTCGTGTAATTAGTTACTTACGTTAGTATAGCTTAATATACATTTAGATATCTATATACTATAATAAAATTGTAGAAAAGTCAAAACTGTACATTGAATATTTTTTAAAAAGAATACTCGAGGTGTGATGTACAATCGATACTGAAGCCAAAAATATTGTTTTTAGAATTTTTGTCTGTTTGTCTCTATGTATGTCCGGGATGATCTCCAAGAGTACTGCATTGATGTACTTCAAATTTTGCATTAATATTACTAACAGGTCCGGTCAATATATAGGCTACCTATTATCACGCTATCATCTACGGGGGAGGAGCTATGAATCACTATTCCACGCGTACGAAGTCGCGGGCAACAGCTAGTATACAATATTTTTTTCTAGACATAGTCAGCACGTATCTGCTACGTGTTATCAACTAATATTTCATACAATTTACTTCGGTGGGTAATGAGCTCTTGTTAGTGTTACCAATTTGTTCGTTTACGCAACAAAATAAATATTCGTTTAACAGACCCCCAGCGACCACTCAATTTGAGAAATAATATGTTCAATTTAGGTGTAGAAAATTACATCGATATTATACAGTGAAACTTGGTTAAGTGGGACCTGGATAAGTAAGAAACCTCCATAACTGGAACTCATGCTGAGGTCCCAACACTTTAGCACTGAATTACCTCTGTTATTGGGACGAGGTAAACCTCTATATCTGGGATTTGTTCTTCCGATTTATCATCATAGTTATCTTTATAATTGAGACAGCGAGTAAATTTTATATGCATAAACCTCTGTAACTGAGATAACATTGTTTGTTTACTCATTTTTATTCTACCCACAAATTCCACACGTAATTCCAAGTCCACCTCTATTAATGGAACCCTCTGTAAATGAGACAGATATTTATTTATACCTGTATATCTGAGACACTGGGTAAGTGGAATACCTCTATAAGTGAAACGACATTGCAGGTCCCTCGATGTCTCACTTAACCAGGTTTCACTGTATTACCTACATGTCAAAATACAGTGAAACTTGGTTAAGTGGGACCTGGATAAGTGAGAAACCTCCATAACTGGAACTCATGCTGAGGTCCCAACACTTTGGCACTGAATTACCTCTGTTAGAGGGACGAGGTAAACCTCTATATCTGGGATTTGTTCTTTCGATTTATCATCATAGTTACCTCTATAACTGAGACAGCGAGTAAATTTTATATGCATAAACCTCTGTAACTGAGATAACATTGTTTGTTTACTCATTCTTATTCTACCCACAAATTCCACACGCAATTCCAAGTCCACCTCCATTAATGGAACCCTCTGTAAATGAGACAGATATTTATTTATACCTGTATATCTGAGACATTGGGTAAGTGGAATACCTCTATAAGTGAAACGACATTGCAGGTCCCTCGATGTGTCACTTAACCAGGTTTGACTGTAATATGTGTTACTACACCAAGCGGTCACCGGTGACCGCGACCCATTGTTCTTTAATTGTGTCTATAAAACCGGTACTTGATGAGTTAATAGAAGTTTACCTTTCCAAAGTCTTCTCGTCATTCTCTTGTCCTTCCCTCTCAGGTGTAGCCTCCAGCATCTCCCAGAAGTTGTCCAAACCGTACACTGCTGCAAACAATAACAATATTACCATTGCGAACAAAATATTCTTGTCACATTACTCAATACTCACACTTACAAGCGAAACAATCGAAATAAGTAATAATTTCGTTCGATTGCCGACAATATATCAGCTTACTCCACTCGCAATACAATAACATCTCTTATAAACGATAATTCAGCACATAAGTGTTATTAGCAATAGTGTCCAGTAATTATCTCATGTATTATGTAGAGAGTACCTGTTGCTCTCTATACACGCCACACAATAACACATTCACACGACGTAATAAGCCACATTAATACCCTCAGTTCCAGTACAATAAAAGCTGACAAATATTAAGCCGAGAGAGCAAATCTCCTCAAATGAGATCTCTCCAGAATACGACAGGAGTCAATAGCCCACTCGTGTCCCTATCAGCACTACACACGCACATAAATACAGCATTGGTAGACATCATGAATAAAGAACACATCCCATTCACCCACAAATTTACCCACGGATGACATACGAAAAAATAGAATAAAAAATCCCGAACTTGTTATCCGTAACAATGCCGTATTTTTGCGCTGACAAATTCACAAGATACAACGGAACCTAGACGATCCAAATAAAGCGAACAGAAGCCTCAATGTATCGATGTTGTTGGTATTGATAAATGTTATCACGTGTCAAAGTTTGCATGTTTTAATAAGCGAGTATGGCATGTTTATGTTGGCCCAGTACGCTGTCTGGCCCGTCCCCTGAGGCTTTAATTCGGTCGATACGAATATTTGTCGTATAAATAACATTTTCGCGACTTATAGCCGGTTTTCGATGGACGACACCCAAAAGTCACCAGTAGTGTGTGATTTCTTTAATATTGGATCTGAGATTATCTCGACTAATACCTCGATCGTTCTTTGGCAAAGGGGCCCTTTTCCCGTAACCCCTGGCGATAAGTACGTTTGAGTTGGGTCTAAAAGTTCCCCTGGTCACTCTAATTTCTTCCTCTGTTGAAATGCCAAGTCATGGCGGTAAATTATTTCAGATCACCGTTAAAAAGCGATATATTATGAAGCGTTATCTTTTAATTTACTGCAAGCGTCTTATTTTGTTTAAAATGACATTTATTTGTGTATTAAATGTAATTATTATATTCTTCTTTTAAGGTTTAAAGCTTCTGAAGCTTTTGTAGCGTTGCAATGTGATAGTTTCGTCATGTGTTTACCTTCATCAGTAACGTCATCATTACCACTCCTTTTGCCAAAGTCGTAGGCGACCATGAGGTTGCTCTTGGGGTTAAACTTCCTGCGAGCGTGGGAGTCATAGCTGTCCTGGTCTGTTGATGTATTATTTGAAGTGAGACAATGTTCTGTATGTTAATAGTAGAGAAGAGTATGTGCATGAACAGTACGACAGTTTAAAGCAAATAAAACACAAGTGTCTAACACCAGTCGACATGGCGCAACACGAGTATTCCTTTTGTTCGGACGATTCAAGCTCAACAGATAACATCCTGCCGTCACAGAGAACCATTGAAAGTGTTCAACTTTGTGTTTTAACACGAATTTAAATTCTTTCTGTTAAACCATTCATCCAAAGTTGAAAACTTTTACCCCTTTATTCAGAGAGATTGCGAAAAATTTGTTATTATGTGCAGATCGCACTTTGTTTTCATTGAAAATGCACTTTATTTGAGTTGCACTCCCATGCAAAATACTATTCGTGACTTCTCTCCGAGTAAAGGAGTTATGAAACCTTCGCAGGAACCTACAGTAGGTACACAGTATCGAGCGGTAAGTAATGAGCTTTCTATCCTCTCACAAACACCTGCAAAGCTTCAGCTCCGAAAAGGGCCAGTCCAGAGGCTGCGCGGACCATTAACAAATGGATTTCAGTTTTTATTTCCTAACACGTTTGGACTGTGCTTAAGTCAGTTACACGGTCCGAGACTGTATTGGCTTCGTAATTTTTGCCATTCACAGTGATACGAGGCCGGAAATTCAATCAGGCTTCTTTGGTACCTTCTGCGTCCAATTCCGGAGCTCTTTTACCGAAATCTCTTGCGATCCCAACAGTGGGACTCTTAAAGGTGGGCGTGCCGCGGTGCGAGCGGGTCGTCGGCGCTTGATGCTCTACGTCCCCTTCAGACACAATGGTACTATTCTTAGCTTCATTACGGTTACTGTTACACCCTGAAAAGGTCTACCGGCGTGTGTCCCGCTGCCCCAGTGCGCCCGCAATCTACCTTCGATATAAACTTTAACCCTCCAACAACAAATAATAACAACATGTATTGTGAAATTGAATGGCATATTTATTGTCAAAAGATTATGGTAATCGCAAACATTTTGATAGAAGATTGGTAGTGGAACCTTTCATTGAACAATAAAGGTAAAAAGTTATGGAAACTTGTATGATTGTTCGGTTATTTGAGGTTCAATGGAGACTAATATTATATGAAGGCAAGGGAATGTGTCCCTAATTTGTTATTCTGTAAGAATTATGCGCTCCATTAGCGACCAGCGGGAGCAAGTTATAGTTGGAAGGCTGGGAAGATGGATGCCTCTCTATTGTGTACAACTCACATACATGAGTGATGTATGAGAGTTCTACAAAATGTTAGTAATTATTTTATAAAATTCAACAAGATCTCATTAGTATACAGCTTGTTCTGATGGATATGTCGTACTAGTAAAAGTTTGAAAATATCCAAAGTTATTTTTATCAGTATCTACATTATTCTGTGTATCACAAAGTTATCATAGTTGTTCTCCAAAAATAACCTACAATAAGTTAGTAAGTTAGAATTATGTGAACACGATATTCATGTCTATTGCTTGCTCGTTGCTCAACAGTACTTATTGTTATAGAAAATAATTGATATCATGGCTTATGAACTGTAAGTATGTATATCAGTAAGTACCTATTTATGTATTTACTAGAGTCTAAGTGGAATAAGTAAAATTATTGGTTATTCTAACAAAGTTTTACAAGAAATGTTCTCTTTGTTTATTTATATCAACACTCTCAATATCCACATAGTTTATATACAAAACCTGTAATTAAATTAGGTTATTCACAATATTTACACACAATAGGGTACACGATTTAAAACATGAGACACGTATTTTTTCTTTTCTTACAAAATTAAATACTTTCGACGATGTATTGATTTGAAATATCGCGTGACGTCACGATTTACTACATTTTCTAGGGTAGCGTGACGTAATGACCTCCCACTCCTAAACTTAACTCCGTTTTATTTAAGTATTGTTTTCTTATACGACAAAATAAAAAAAATGTGTCTAATTTTTTTACTTGTCTAACTGACGGACTAATTATATTTTTAATTAAATTAAAAGTTAAAAGAAAATAAAATAATTTAAATGAATAATAAGGATTTCTTATCTGGAATATCTGTATAATTAGTCCTGTTTCTAATATTGTATAATACATAATTCTATCTATCTATTTATGTACAGAAAAATGCTAAATGGTTTTTCAAAAGTTATTAGGATAAGACTATTGGTACTATTACCGTCTAGACACAACTTTGCCAATAATAGAATTTATACAAAATTATAGAAAAATAAATAACTCACGCTCAGCCCGAGTGTGTGGCCTGTCTCGCTTGCCGAATCCCCTGGCGGTCATCATCTCGACGTTCTTGAAGCCGCGGGTGGGGCGCTGTTGTTTAGTGCGCGCGAGTCGATTCTCGGGTGCCGCTGCGCACACGCACAGACAAGCCGCCGCCGCCACAGCTACCGCCAAATGCATTGAAATGTTCATTGCTGAGGACAAACGAGTAATTGGTTAGGTTACGGTGATTAGATGATAGGGAGGATAAAATGAGATATATTCTGTTGACCCCAAAGTGGCTTGGGATACTTTAAAGAAAGAGCTAAGATGCTATTAGTTCTGCAGAAATTATGCAACCAGGTCCAGGATGTTGCAAATTGATTGATCAGAGACATTATAGAACATACTTTTTTTAAAAAGAGTAACGAATGGAGTTCCTTGCTCGACCTTCTCCATTCGAATCTGTATTTAGAATGAGCACCTAGCTTCACCTAGCTTCACTGACGGACTGACTGACAGATTATTATTTATTTTGTATTTGTTGACGTTTCAAAGGTACTAAATTATGGTTTAATTGAAATAAATGCTTTGACTTTGTAATACTGTACTATTTAAACAGCTAACTGCCAGTACAATAGATGATTTTGACATGGCAATAATGATATAATTTTAGCATGGCATTTTTAACATAATTTAGTAGTAATTCTGATGATTATTGCATGGTACATAGGTACAGTCTACGGGTGAAACATATATTTTTGACTCGAGGAGCTCATTAAAACCGGAATTATATGAAAAAAATACAAGTACCTAATAATATAGTGAGTATATTGTTATAGTAAAAGTAGCTATCATCCGTAACGTGACGTTCCCACATCAAAGCCTTCACGGCGGCGCTGAACAACCGTAAAACATGAATGATGCTAATGGACTCCTCTAGTACATAGTTGAAGCACTAGGTACTTACTATCTACGACTTTACATTGCGTTACATTTATAAGGTATATTATTTAACATCATGGTTTTTATTCCACGAATAAATAGGCAGAAACACGTCGAGTATATTAATTGTTAACATGAACTTTTAAATAATCTATACTAATATTATAAAGCTGAAGAAGAGTTTGTTTTTTTGTTTGTTTGTTTGAACGCGTTAATTTCCGAAACTACTGGTCCGATTTAAAAAATTATTACAGTGTTGAATAGCCCATTTATCGAGGAAGACTAGGTTATAAAATATCACGCTACAATTAATAGGCGCCGAACAGAGCGAGTGAAACCGCATGGAAGTAGCTAGTATAAAATAAATAGTAATTAAGTATTACTTAAGAAAACTAAAAGTTACTATTTACAAAGAGCATCAAAAAATTCGTCCCCATCGACGTCTATTGGGAAAGTACCCAGAATGTGGCAGCATTGCCACGTTGTATGGCAATGCTTAACCTGAACTTTTTGGTTAGACATGTTTTTAAACTCAATTTTAGAAATTCAAATTTTCAACAAACCTCTTATAAAAAAGAATTAATCTAGAGGTACTTCAGTAATGGACAGCCAATGATACTCTAAGCATACACTCAACATAGTATATCGAGCATCGGAATTTACACAACTTAAATGAAGTAAAGTAAATGGAAACAAGGTAACGATTACTAAAATGATTAAGTACCTATCCTTTTGCAGGAAAATTAATGACGTAACAAAGTCACAAAGACAACTTGTTTAAATACTTTGACAGGCACAAAGTCTAAAATAAACGCTATAACCAGTCACCTAAAATAACAATGTTGCCGATACATTTAATACACAAGGATTCAAGGATACACCGTTACGGTGGACTTTGCGGAGAAACCTTAATTAATGAGAGCCTAAATTACAATGTGTCTAATTATAAACTACCTATGGAATTGTCAAAGGTCAGAACCTAAATGAATCGTCATTATTATATTGTCACGGCTTTAAATTAAGTAGGCGTAGACAGAATATAATATACATAAAGTAACACTCACTTATCTAATTAATAATAATGTAAAATAGGTGTACGTACCATCGCCATGCACCGGGAAAAATACTAACATCTGCGCTACATACATACATAAATAACTTCACGCCTGTCTCCCACGGTGTAGGCAGATACTATGCAACGCCAATTGCTACGATTCCTACATACCTCTTTCGCTTCATCAACACAACATCTGCGTTATTATTTACAAAGTATTAAGAATTTATAGAAGTACTAGCTTTTACCCGCGGCTTCGCTCGCGTCACAAAAGAATAAAAAGTAGCCTAAGTGACATATACCAATACACACAGCGCCATCTATACCAATACTTTTGTTTGTCCTCGGGAATATCAATATTTTCCGGATTAAATAATAGGGTACTTTTATTAAAAAGTACCCTATAAACTAAGACTTCTAACTTTACGTGTGCAAAAATTCAAAGCAAACGGTTGAGTAGTTACGGCGTGAAGGTGGAACAAACAAACAAACTCACTTTCAGATTTATAATATTATTAGTAAGGATAATAAACTTAAAACTGCACATTTAAACTTCGATTCTAATAATTAATTCGTGTTCAAACAATACACAAATAAAAACACAACGGACTTTCGTTAAAAGTCGGATCCGAAATGGAAATTAAAATCCCAACACTCCAAACTGTCAATTAGGCAAATAACTGAATGCAATGTGCTGACAATAGCTAACTAGAGTTTTGCAGCAAAATTCTAATCCTACTGTCCAAACCCACCAGACGAAAATAATCGCTAATGAGTTGACTATACTGCTCAAAATAGATTTTTAGATAAAGTGGAGAGGGTTGTGCATAAAAATAAAATTGAAATGAGTCCTTCGGAAGTAATTTTGAGGTTAGCTTAAAAATACTGTAGAAAACTTTGCGCATCTATAATGCAAATATGTTGACCTATTAAGATTCTTAGAGATTATAAAACATCGGTAGGTGTCTTAAAAACCGACTCAGGGCGACTAACTAGTAATATTCTTTGAAAAGTGAATGTTACGATGGTTTGGGCATGTAGAAAGGATAGATGAAAGTAGAGTAAGGAAAGAAGTATATAGAGCGGACTGATGCACTGACCAGATTGGCGATATCGAAATAAATACCTAGCTTTTTAAACGCTTGACATTTATCAATTGAAATACCCACGTAAGAATCAATTATTTGCACACGTACGAATTCAAAATCCCTAATTAAATTCTCAATCTCACACTAGAATCCGATCTGATTGCGATTTGTGTACCTAAAGTACAATTTGTAATTGTACCAAACAATACCGTGTCACCTGTACGGTCGCTGGACCGGCTCGGAGCCGGCGAGAAGCCCTAATCCGGAGCTAATCTAACTGTATATCCGGTAGCAAATAGCATTATGCACCAGACCGTTTAACCCGTTGTGTGTTTTTGTATTTATAGTTCACCCTGAGTAAGGACAAGGTTGAAGTTTGTTTGTTTTGTCTTGAGGTGATTACTACAAATAAATAATACCTAAATAATATGCTTCTTTTGTGATTAGGAAAATACCTTTTAAACCGACCTTAAAAAAGAGGGGTCAAAGTCGATTTTTTAAACATAACAATAGTCTATATTGTAACTTTCGTGAGACATACTAAATTAATTATTATGTTTTCGGCTTACTCACGTAATAATTTGACGAGGAACTCGACTAGTTTAAAGCCATGCTAGAGGCATATTCATGAGCAGCATTTCGCGACCCAGCAGCGCGACAGTCGCCCGCGTCAAACTAGTCGAGTTCCTCGTCAAATTATTACGTGATTAAGCCGAAAACATAATAATTTATAACAATCGTCGTTATTTTTCAGATACAACTTAATAAATATGAACTAAGAAATATCCATGATCTATGAGCTTATCTTTAACACTCGTCAATTCTAGAACAAAAGCTCTAGATAACAGGTGCTGCATTGTTAGACTGCATCCCATCGGGAACTAGATAATACACCATTGTAAGGGGTTTCACCTCGAAGCAAAAAGGGGACAACTGGGGGAAGTACATAGTGTCAAATATTACTATTAATGTTGGATATCTTGATGGATATTTCTACATACAAAGTTATATTAATTGCACTATTATATTTAGATCAACTGATCTTTTAATTTGCGAGATTTGATTTCACGTTGACCATTTTACAGTTATGGAAACGGTTTTTTAAGATCTACTGACATAACATCACGTTTAATTAAACTAGAAATCTATACAGATAAATAAAATTAGAATGTCTATTTGTAATATTAAAATAACCGCGTTTTACTACATACATATGAATAAACATACGATACACACATCAAAATATTTTTTTGTATTTTAATTCTAATATAAAATTATTAAAATGTTTGTGTCTGTCTGTTTGTACTAACTAATCTCTGGAATGGCTGGACCGATTTTGACGGCTCATTCCTTGGTAGGAGGCTGATTTACTAAGGAATAACGTAGGCTACTTTTATTATGGAAAATTAAAACAGAAAGAAGTAATGCCCTAAAATTCATATTCTACGCAGACTAAATCGCTGGCAACAGTTAGTAAAATGTATCCTTACTAATAATATTATAAATCTGAAAGTGAGTTTGTTTGTTTGTTTGTTTGTTCTACCTTCACGCCGTAACTACTCAACCGATTGCTTTGAATTTTTGCAGACGTAAAGTTAGAAGTCCGGATTAAATAATAGGGTACTTTTTAACCCGGAAAAAATTGATATTCCCGAGGAAAAACAAAAGTATTGGTATAGATGGCGCTGTGTGTATTGGTATATGTCACATAGGCTACTTTTTATTCTTTTGTGACGCGAGCGAAGCCGCGGGTAAAAGGTAGTAAAAAATAAAGGTTGAAAGGTGAACATTCAAAATCAAACTCTGAGGAAGAACTTAATGTAAAAAGAAAACAATTTCATGTTTATCTTTTTGTCTTTCTGCTTAAGTTTTGTCTAGAAAAGGTAAAAGGTGAGTATTTGAAAGTTGTAAGTAAAATTTAAATTCCAGGAAACTTTTCGTGATGGATTACTTAAACTTATTTTTAACTTATTACTTGAAGTGCTACTAAGATCGTAGGTTTAAATTCTTGGCATCTTTAGAGGGTGGTATTTTTTATATCACTCAACAGTTATGGAACCACTGACTCGTTGGCCGAGTGGTCGCAAATTCGACTGCTGGGCAAGGGGTATCGGGTTCGATTCCTGGG